GGTCCAGTTAGGTGCTGTTTTAACCGAATGAAAGACGTTTGACCACCGACATTTGGCTTAAGAGTGAGCATTGTGCATATTCTCTTAGCGTTATTTATTTACTCTGTGGCGGTAATATTCCAAGTGTATATTGAATTTTGAGTTGGTGTGGGTGTTGACAAGAGGTTGTGTACGTTAAATCTTGGTCCCTGAACTGATGGTAGAGTGAGTAGCTTCTCGGGTGAAATTTCGGAGCATTAAAGCCGCCGTCTTAATTGAGATAGGTTGGGTTCGTTTAAATATATCAAAGGGAAATTTTTTACGTAAGGGCCTATCCAATCTGGGTCCACATGGACAGCTGGCTGGCTCGCAGCTTCAGATCAATACTGGCGGAGGTGGTGACTTGTCGCTGGCCTGTTGCTATGTCAGGCCGGTGGTTCTCGCTGACTTGTTTTGGTTAGGACAGATGGTGGCAAGCAAGAAACGCGCTTACTAATCCATCTCGAGTGGTTTAGTTTATGTTAGGCGTTGATAAGATTGATCCGATCAAAAATTTTACTGTCTTGGTTTGGGTAGGGTGTGGGAGGTAGAGGTAACCCGTCTCCTATCACATGTATGAACTGGTCCACCTGTCACCTGCAGAAGTACAAACCGCTCTCCACAATACTTACAACAGAGATTTTATCCTCGTACTATTTTGGTGAAAGAATTTTGTCGTATGATGAATTTTACGTTTGCAAAATTTGTCCGTGATGAAATATCTATTATTTAACCAAGTCATTGTTTGTATTCCCGAGAACTGTGTACATATTCTAAACTTCTAAAGCATCATCACGGACAGGCAAGGTAAACTATTGTGTAGGTTGTAGATGGTTTGGTGTTAGTGTTTGTTTACAAACGTGTCTTGCTCTTCACTGCCCCGTCGCTCTGTGGGACGTTTTCTTAGCTTTACGAGACCTCACTTGTCATGTTCTTGTCGGCCGCCGCTACAGCTCTCTATGTGATGAGAAATTCCACCAAAATCAACTTGGGGCCAACTATCTTCCTGTCAGTAATTCTCTTATGTACTTTGTTGAAGTTTTTGTTTCTTGTGCCTGATTTATACTTGTCTTTCTCACTGTTTGTATTGTGTATTTTTTGTTATCCTCTCCTCTATACTGTATACTTCTGTTTCGCAACCTTGGCTTTGTCACCTTTCCTTCCAGGGGGTATCAAAAGATTAGATTATCTCTGACTGGGATGGAAAAAACCCACGTCTAGGTATGTCCGTCTGGATGTAATTTTTAGGGTTTGTGTAAATCTGAAACCAACCCCACACAGTCTCCTGCCTGTCCTCCAGCTATACCAGCCCATGTACTGTATATAATAGTCAGGGAAGCTGGTGGGAAGGTTAAGGGTGTTGGGACCTTGGGTAGGCGAACTTGCATTGATTATAGCAGAAAAATAATCGCTACTTGAGTTAATACGGTAAATTACAGTTAAGTAGATTTTATTAGTGTTATTGAACTTGTTGGATTGAGTATAGAAATTGTGATGAGGGTATTGTCGCTGTCCGTCATAGCGGGGTTACTCGTGATCTCGCTATCAGAGGGGCTCGTGGTTGAAGTACTGCGTCACCTTCCTTGTTACAGTCGAGGACAGTGGCGCTGGTGGGCGTTACAGTAGCGGGGTCCTCTTTTAGTAAACGCCAGTACAGCTTTCCACTGATGCCTCCATAGTACTGTATATGGCATAATCACATTAATGTCCACAAAATCTATTATAATCGATGGTAACTGTATTATGTATGGATAAGCATATGGGGGGGGGGGAGTAGCAAAAGTTAGCACACATTCTTGTTTCCCCACCTCAGTTTATTTCCCCTAAAGAGTGACCCTCCTGTCCCCCCCCCCCTTCAAATATTGTTAGGGTGGTTAATATTTAGATGAAATAAGCTCGGGGTGGGGGGATCGTTGAGGTGATTCTATATCTTGTTTGCTCTTGCCATGTTGTTTACAGATTTGAAGTGTTTACAGACGAAGGGATGATTCGTGTTGTCGCTGGCCTTGTAACAGCTCTTAGCGGTGGGTTCTGTGAGTGTCGAGTGAAGGTGAAGTGTAAGCCAGTTGAATGGGAGAAGTACTGGTGTTGGTGGTGACATTTGTGTGCCAACGAAGGGTCTGGCGAGCGTCCAGGTCTCCTCCTCGCGTGACTTACTCGTCAGGCGGCCTGGTATATTATAAGACCACGAGGGTATGTCTACCACGCGTGTCTGCCCACCATGACGCTGCACCGCTAATAACTCGTGAATAGCTATAATGGACTCTCTCGTAGGCTCAGTTTTTTTAAGACATTGGTGACATTTTTCATACAATACACCGTCGAAGTTCTTTTTCGGGGTTGTAACATCACACCCGTTTTATATAATACTGGTGGATATTTTCGCCTGATAATATAATATAGCAATATTTTTTTTACCAACAAACTATTAGTACTATTGACTTGTAATTCATGATATATTTTTTATCTGTAGTCGTGTGCTCCTCGTCTGTGGGTTGGGTTATCTTACTGGATACACTTGTGATTACCTAGATAGATATTTAATAGAGTACAAGAGACGGAATACGGTACTGTAGGATGATTTGTGAAGGGGTATATTACACGTATTTTCGACCTGGGTGTTTCATTAATAGGTATCTTTGTGTGTTTATAATTGGTGGTTAATGTGTTTATTGGCTAAATGTAGTGAAAGATGTTGCTGTAAGGTTAAGTTTGTCTGGGTTGGGATACCCTTCATATTATACTGGTAAGATGTTCTCCCTAAATGAGGAAGTTCTTTTATAAGACTATCAAATAAGGATAGAGCGAAACCTCGATAAAAAGCCCAGGTTTACTTTTTTCCTAGTTCATATCATCCAATAGATAACGCTACTAGTAGTAATAGTAACTTTCTGTTTACTAACATGTTATAATTTACTGTAATAGTTAAGTATGTGGCGCGTACTGTGTTGTACCAGTACCTCCAGTCGCTTAAGTAACAGATTCGTTAGGTAATAGAGTTGCCAGGTGTCGCTGCCAACCCCCATACATTCATTATCTTGTTTACTACAGTTCACAGTTTTTATTTTATTTTTTTATAACCTGAAGATCCTTTGAACTGTCGTAAACCAGGGTATATTACCAAAAAAATTGTTTTTTGGTACATTTATATTCCGTAATGTGTGTGAGACATGGTGGGTGGGAAGTGTCGAGTGCAATGTTTGGTCTGCTGCCAGGTTTCCCTATTGTCTATGACTGTGGCAAACTGGCTCCCCTGAACATCACCCCGCTGTAGGTGCCTCTCACAACCAGGCGGCGGTCGGAATAATTGGCACGTTGAGACTCCGGAGAATGCCACGATGGGGACTGTGAACTGTGAAGGTTGTTCACTGGTAATGGTCGGGGTGGTCATGGGAAGGTCGCTACAGTACTCCATAAAACATGCCATTACTTAACCTTGCTCTTGGCAGTGTTTAGTCTGGGGTGTAGATATTTTCAAGGTATTATATATTAAGCTTGCAAGGATTAAATTTAAAGGTGAGAATGGGGCGTTGGTTGTTGAGAGATAAGGTAACTGGAGTATGATAATGAGTTATGTATAAGGTATTGTTGGCCTTTGTATTCTCCTGAGGGCGTTTAGTAATGGTGGTGGCTGCTTTTAAGGGCCCCATTGTCAACCCTCGTCAACACTTTTTTTTATTACCCCCCCTACATCCTTGTTTAAGGTGAAGCGTTTACAGCGCCCAACAGGGAAGCATGCTAAGTTCATGCTTGCCTTTATGTCTCACGAGATAAGGACGTAGAAGCCTGAAGAGTCGATGGGTTTTTTATGTCATCAAGTTATTGGAAGCTCCAACAATTTGTCCCTGAATACGAATTCGTAACTTTCAACAGGTAATTACTTTACTGCTGGGTGAACAGGGACCAATGGGGGCTAGGAAGTAAGTCCAAACAACTTCCACCGGCCCAGGAATCGAACCCGCGACATCTCGCTTGCGAGGCAAAACGGTACCGCTTCTACCACCGGTCCCCTCTCGTCGATACTTGCTAGAGAAAACGTATTCGCTATCACCGCCGATTACGTTCTGGTCTTATACTCAACATTGTCAATAGATTTTTTTCTAAACGATCAAATAAACATAACTACTAAACAGCTGATTTATTTTATGTATACAATTAACCCAGTGACCCAGCTGCGTACGTTATTGGAGGGAAACAATTTATTATTTTGTTCCGGTTTCCATATTAGTCAGTATTTATTAATCCTCTATTAACCAGGTTTCCCTTAAAAAAAGCCCTTTCTATTCCTTAATCCTCGTTCAAGTCTGGGATTTATCCTTTCTGCCATACAGTACTCATATTACGTCAGGCTTTTGCATCCACGTGTTCACCCACACGCAGAACAACGTTATAATACCGGGATAGTGGCACAACTCCACCTATTCCAGCCTCTCTTTAATTCTGGCTTGCCTGCTTTGCTTCCACCCGCCCGTCTTGTTCTTGCATTGCAGTCAGAAGGCTGCACCGTACTGGATTGGACCAGTTTGGGTGACCTAGGCGGCCGCTAGCCACTCACGGCCTTACGCTAGTTGGTTTAATCGGGCGACGGCTCACCTGAAGAGCCGCACGTCCTTCTATTTATTTCACCTGAAGATTAATCTAACATCCCAGGTAGCTACAGGGTGGTTAATCATCAGGTGATTCTGGAGAGAGTATTCTTATCTCAAGGAGCTGGGGGGTACATAAAAAAAACATTCCAAGGAAATTTACGTTTTTGGCTGTTATTATAAAGTGGATCTCGTGACTCTGAGAACATTGTCTTATCGTAAAATCCCGTTGCAATTGAAAACTCTATATTTTTATTCCACTCCAAAGAAACCCATTTTATATATTTTCCTTATGGCACAGTTGGGTGTTGGTTGGCATGTGTCGCTAATGCAGTGATATACAGTATATTATTGAACTCAGAACAACTTATTAATTTATTTATTTTTTGTTCACAGCTACAACACAATAAAATCCTGGTTTCAAAGTGGGAACAGCAAAGTTCACATTGGTCCAGGACTACACATGGTGGCAGCAGCCGAGGCGGGCGTCCTCACCCTCGTCATGACCAATCCTATATGGGTGGTTAAAACCAGGTTAGTTAATGGCCTCCCTCCCTCGTCTTAACTATTAACAACTTAAGAAAAAGAATATTGGATGTTTACCAATATTTAGGCTCTAAGTTTCATAAAATAATCTATAGGTTTCAATTTTTTTTACTAATATTGACTGATGGAATATTAAATAGTTTGAGTTTTTGAATGAATTTTAAATTTATTTATAGATCCTTAGAAAATATAATGAAGTAATGTATATGTGCTAGAATTCTGATAAATGTGTTTGGACAAGGAATATAGTATTAACAAAAAACAAATGGTGTGCAGGTTGTGTCTTCAGTATACAGATGGGCCAACGGCGGGGAAGATGATGCAAGAGTCACACAGATATAATGGGATGGTTGATGCTTTTGTCAAGACTTACAAATATGAAGGCGTCAGAGGTCTCTACAAGGTGGGTGTGCATTCCTCACTCCTATGATATGCCTTACAGTTCCTTACACGAGAATTCTATCCATCTTGTTTAATAGATCTTTAAAAAAACTAGAGCACATCTTTGTCTTGGACTGATAGTTAACAAGTTTTATGTGAGACACTGAAGCTACCATTGTCGGGTGATTTAGAGATGGTACCATTAAATATTTAGGGTTTTCTTGTTATTATTGTTATATTAAGAGGTTCATGGTTGTAATAGGAGACACAGCAGAACATTACTCAATAAGGTTGTTGTTTGGTGCTCAGGTCTAGTATTACCGCAGTGCCTGTTAAAAGCTTCACAGTACAGTATATTAATAGAAGTATTTTTTATTACAGGGTTTTGTTCCTGGCATGTTTGGTGTGTCTCATGGTGCACTCCAATTTATGGCCTACGAGGAAATGAAGGCGCAGTATAACAAGTATCGCAATCTGCCCATTGACGCCAAATTGGTAAGTTTAAATGTGTATGATACAGGTAAACTGAATGTGAGATACACTAAAGTGTTTGTCATTAATTATATCACTTGAGAACATTCTTGTATAGTTTTGTATCCAAGGACGTCTATCTAAGGTTGCCATTGTTTTCATTCCAGACCACTGCAGAATATCTCACCTTTGCATCACTCTCCAAACTATTTGCAGCTGTCACAACTTATCCCTATCAAGTACTACGGGCACGCATGCAAGACCAGCATGCCCACTATGACAACTTGCGACACTGTGTTCGTGAGACGTGGAGGTATGAAGGCATCGTTGGATTCTACCGGGGAATGTCTCCTTATCTTGTCCATGTGATGCCCAACATTTGCTTGGTATTCTTAATATATGAAACAGTGGCTGGAGGCTCTTGAAAACATGTATAAGAGTTAGAATTCAATTTTTATTTAAGGTTTATTGAAGTATCGCCCCCCTCAGTTGTATTCCAGTGAGTAAATAAGTGCAGTTAATTTACATTTTGACCCAAGTTGGTAATGGTTATTATTACCATTGTGTTTCATGGGTGACCAAACTACAGGATGTCTTTCCCTACATACAGTAAAGCCTTTATGTGTCGGACAGTGTTGTGTAGTTTGACGAACGTTATCTTTCTCATCACATTCGACAGTTTCAGTATAACAAGAAATTTGAAAGATTGTTAAATTTATTTCATACTCTAGGTGTTTTGCCCTGTTTGCAATGCTGTAGAGAGATATATCACCAACTGCCCGTCAATGATCATCTCAACAATTAGGGAAGGAGAATGATATTGAGGTGATTTAGATCATTTTATTTGGGAAATGGTTTGGAAATTTTTAACCAGGTGCCCATGTTAGCCCTAGTCCTAAAGGTAAGATCTTACAGTAAACTCTGCCATTCACTGTGATGATTATTGCCACAGTATACTTCTAAAAATACAAGCACTGGTCCACAGAGACTAAAGTACAGTAGATGTGTCCTATGAACCTGAGGATTTCTGATAAATACTCGTTTATCTTGCACTGTTTACATCAAAATATGTGTACCAGCTATTGGTCAGTAGTCCAGTGTATGGTGTGTACCTTTACAGTAAAAGAATAGTTTATTAGGAGTTTGGGATGATGATACAGTGCTTTTATGGTAAGAAGTGTTGCATTTTACTCAATAGGGATTCTGAATATTGGGAAAAACTGTAGTTTCTATTAGATATGATGCCAAAAGAAACATTATTGGGTCAGTATTTTGGTAGTAATCTCGAGAGGTTCAGTTATTTTACTAAAACTTACTGCTAAGTAAATTTTTTTCATTATTTATTTCATTAGTTTCAATTATGTCTAAATATCAGTATTCAGTTTATTCTTCACAGTTATGGTGGGTTAACTGTGGTATAGGTGAAGTTTCATTACTGAAAATTGGTGTATAAGTAATCATAACTTGCCACAATTCTGTCAAGGCAGAAGTCATTCCTCTTGTCATCTTGCCATATATATTTTTTTTTTCATTTATATCTACACAGGTTCTAGGTAGGCACAAAGTTGGCATATTGGGGCAAAGATAGAAAGCTGGCAGATAGTTCTTGTAATACTAAGAGTTGAAGATTGAGTGATGTAGTTGCTAAGAAAAAAGTTTGCAAAGGGTCCAATTTTATCATGTAAACATATGCTCACACACAGTGTTAATTGCCAATATGTGTCAGTGTTCCTCCTTGGCGCTGTTAAGACTTAATGTGGGAAACGTGGCACAAAATGTGTAGGGGGGCAGACACAAGGACTAGCAGGATCAGTGTATAGATTTGCCAATTTTCACAACCTGACTTAAGGTTTGAGGACACATTCACTAAACACAGCACAAGAGATTAATATTATAACTGAGACGAGAATTTTTGTTCTGGAGGAGAGATTTACCCATATAATATAGGTTTAAGACTGAAGATTATTACCTGTTGGAACGAGTTGTGAACATTTGCCTGATTGGTGATCTTCCCAAATGGCTTACATACAGGAGTCACAGAAACAGGCCTCATTGTTTACTCTTCCTGATAGGTCATAAGGATTGGCAAGTAACGGTGTGTGTGTGCATTCAGTTGGTGATATTTATTATTGTTAGCAGAGTATATTTGTAATATCTGTATAATGCTGTCTATCTTTGTATACCCAGAACTTGTCTTTGTAGTCTAGAGGTTGTCTGTAGGTCTTTGTTATTCACAATCTCTCTATAGAGTGCCATATACTGTAATAGGACTTACACCCATACCAGCTAAGTAAGGTTTTTTCTTCCGTTTTATTCATTATGTGTAGCCTGTACAGTATGTCAGTTTAACTATTTCACTGTTTTGGGGTAACTGTAGTTCCTGTGCTGTGTGTCTCTGTAGTGTGTTCTCCTCCCATGAGTGTGTTTTCCATGTGTTGCTCTGAACAATTCCTGAAATATATCATAACTTGTAGTCTTCATTAAACACTATCAAGCTACCAGAAGTTGGTGACAGTCATGAAAAAGAAAAAGCTCTGGAAACTGCAGGTCAGTTTTACTCCAGTTGTTAGTGTCATTTGTGCTTACATCAGCTGTGGTGAATGGAAGGAGGTCCTCTCATTCCCTTAATATATGGTATCTGAAATGCCCCCCTCCCTCTCCCCCCCCCTATCCTTTGCCAAAAAAGTTGATATCTTAATTTAAGAGTGTGTCCCTTTTAAGACAACTTATAATATGTCTACGCAATGCATAAATATCCAAATGACTTACATTGTGTGAAAGATAGACATAAAGAATCAAGTTGCAAGTATTAAGTTTGCATGGCAGTGTTAGAACAACTTGATAAAGCATGGGCAATTATGGATCTTGGAGTAGAATGGTTTAAGTACAGTATATGAATGTCCAGCCATCTGCTTCATGTACAAGTTGTATCATGGTGTTGGGGGTCTCATAGAGGCAGGCAAGAGCTGGTTGTTCAGTTTAATAATCTCACCTGTATTGTATTTTGATAAGTTTCTCTTTTCTGTTATTAAATCTTGTTATTTAACTAGCTGTAGAAAGTTAAAGTATACAGTATTCCACAACAGGATGCAAGTTGATCATATTTACCACTATATATAGGGGTTGGGCTTTCTGTGTCAAACTTATGTTGTTGTGTATGTTTTAATCCCAAATCTAGTCAAAGACTGCTTGTGGGATGATGGATTTGAACTCTTAAATGTATCATTTCTGACCATTTTCATAAACTGTCAGTCTCAGATTAGCACTTTAAACTCAGTGTAGTGTGTTAATAATGTCAGTGGCAAAACTGTTGGTACTTTTGAGTACTTAATTTACTTGAACAATATTTTGTTTAAAATAGATGGCCATGATGTATGGGCTACTTCTGAAGCTGTCGGGTGTCATGGTTCTCTCGTTCCTAATTTTTCCTTGATCATAATTAAGCCAGCATTAGAGTCTTGCACATGTTCTTTGTGTTGTTTTCTAGGCTCAAACTTACTTTATTTTATTATTATATACAGTATAAGGAATGGAAGAAGTCCCAAGTAGTGAGTGGTGTTGACCATTGTCTTTCTGTATTTTGGTGCAGTTTTTGTATTTATTTTTTTATTTTTTTACTCAAGTATTCCACTCTAAGCCATTGCATCTTGTCTAGCAATCTGATGAAGTTGTAGATGCTGTAACCTTGCTGTTCATCAGTGTCTTTGTTGATGAATGCTGATGTGTTGCTTTCCCTGGGTGACACCACTTGGTACAGTAATGTAAGCGTTAGTTGATGGAGGTCCTTGTGAGAAGGAGACAGCTGTGATATATTGAGATTTTTCCTAGCTAACTAGAACCCTGTCCAGAAATAGCTGAGTTGTTATACCAAGACAGTATGTAATTAATATACTAGAGCAGTTTTGTATGATTTAAGAAGCCTATGGCAGGGATATATATTGTCATTTATCTGATCAACAGTTTATAGCCTCACAAGTCTGGTTAGTTCGTTTTATTTATTTTGTACATATGTGTGTTTGGTTGCCATAAATGTTTCTTAATACATATGATGACATATTCCCATAAGCTGTTATCAGAGCAGAGGTCAAGTGTGTGAATAACAGTGGTTGCCATAACCCTACCAATTCCTTACTACCTCGTTATAAGTGCTTCATGTATTTTATTCTCACATTTCTCCTTGTTGTCATGGTCAATTACTTGCTGAGTCGAGGTATCTGTCACCTGTTTATGGACATGGTTGCTGGAATTATATCAACAATGACATTTTATATTTAAATACAAAAATGTCAAGATTTGGAGTTTCTCTATCCCAGTATGTTAACAGTCCCCTCTTTACAAAGACCTCTACCAAGTAAGAGTCTTTCTTATGATGCTGTGTATAGTAAGTTACTGCTCGGTACCAAGAGTAAGTGAAAATCTTTTGAAAAGAAATACTTATGATATACTGAAACAAAAGCAAATGATTGTAACAATTGGATGCATTTGTATCAAAGAATGGGCCTAGGTGATATGACCACCATCCATCCACTAGCAATACGTGCTGTCTGTCGGCAGTTAATTTACTAAGGTTGTTCAAGCAATATCTTTCTAAAAGATAGTTGTAGTAACACACATGATAAGAATCACCATTGTTTAAGTTTGTACACTGGCTAGGCAGATGAGGAAATTTGTTTTTGCTCATAAAGAGTCCAGACAGTTTGACAGCCTTTGTGCTGCTTATTTTAGTATAATAATTGGCCACCTTTTGAAGGGATTATACAGTACTTCAAATTCTATATCACTGTTTGCCTGCAATCTTGACCACGAGTTTTGGTATTATTTCGGCCATTATTTTTTAAGTAATCCACTGTGTCTGGCCTGTCTGACACACTTCATTCCTTACTTTGATCTTTGTCATTCTTAATGCATTCACTTTTCAATCCTACCATCTGCCTCATATTTCAGTGGTGTGTTCTGGACATTACACATTTCTTGACTACCGTACTCACATTTTTGTTATTAGTTACACCCAGTGAAGCTGTATACTCTTTACAGTTCTCTCGTATGATGATAAATTACTCGTTAAAGCATAAAATTCAGTCATCAGTTGGGAAAGTAGATTTAAAGAATAAATTCCACTTTACATCAGTCATTCTTATGTTTTGGTACAATATTTTTAGTCCTTTAGGTTATCATTTGCACAGATAGATCTCAATGTGTCCTTAAAAGCTGAGAAAAAGAATTGTCTTTTACTTCAATTATTTTTGGTAACTAAATTTGAAGTACTAAGAGCAGTGGTAATTTACCTGAAGAAAGTCACATGTAGAGGGGATGAGGAGCATTGACAGGAAGAACAGTACAGTGCAGTAATGGTGAGACATTAGTGTACTGCAGACACCCTGTGCATATAAAAGAAATGACGTCCCGAGTCTTTACTAAGTGCGAGTCAATAATTCTGAAGCTGGAATTAATATGAACGGAGAATAAAATACTCTTGGACAAAGATTGGATCTGACTGAGAAATCTAGATAAGACAGACTCATGATGCCAACAAACTCTGATATTGTGGAAGACATTGAGTACAGCACAAGAAATGGAGTTTGAGGTGATCAAGTGTGTGTGGCTGATCATGTTTGTAGGGAAGTAAGAGTACAGGAGTTATATTTTGGAGGTTCATGGTCAAAAGCTCACAGGAAAGGATTGGGTTATGTGAGATTTTATTCTACCCTAATTTTGGACACCAGGAAGGAGGAATATAATAGTGTTGTGTTCATAGTCCCTTTGACAGGAGATAGAACAAGGCATAAGAGTATCTTGAAGAAAGACATTCAAAACAATATATGTTGATGTAGCCCTGAAACATGAATTAACTTTTAGTTGTAGAGAGATGTGTCCTTTTACAGTAGTTTTTATGTGACAGTGAAACCTTTAACCTTTCAGTGGTAGCTAAAGCTTTCCTACTCCAGTTAACTTAAAATGTGAAGTGAATATCCTTTAGGAGTACAGTCAGTTCTGCTATAACGCGATAGTTGTGTTCTTGTAAAACATCGTGTTATAGAAATTCGCGTAATAGAAATAACAGGGTTTATGGAGAAAATGGGGTTAGGTGCAGATTACTACTCGAAATCGAAAAAAATTTAGTAGTTAGTCTAACACAAAGGATAGCACAGTCTAAATAAATGTTACATTCATATCTAATAATGAAATCATACAGTAAATGTAACACTTTACCTTGAAAAAATATGAATATAACTTGATGGGGGAGAAGGGTGATTTTGAGGTAGATAACATCGAGCTTCTCTTCAAGGGTTATGGCCTTTCTTTTACGATCATCACTGGGAATGCGATCACCAGAACGCTTCTTGGAGATATTCTTTTTTACCATATTCACAGTTCATACCACAAAATTGGAGAAATAGTAAGCAAAAATCGCGTTACAGCAAACAAGTGTTCGCGTTATACAAATATCGTTCCTCTATTCATAAATCGCGTAAGAGCCAATTCGCGTTGTCAAAACACGCGTTATAGCAGAACTCACTGTAGAGATATTTACTTTTTCTGTGGCAGTATAGTCTTTAACCCCACTCCACCTACACGTAAGCAGAAATGAAATGCAAGGAACATGAAACTTCCACTGAGATGGCTTCCATCTCAACAGTTAACTAACCATCTCAACAGTTAACTAACGATCTTAATGACCACGTTTAAGGGTTATAGATTGGAAATAAGGTTTGTATGTACATTAGTTTATTGTGTAAGAGTTGCAAATGGTTGAAATATGATGGTGTTTTAATCGGAGGGATGTGTTTCTTATGTTAGGGAATGTAATGTTTTAACTTTATTTATTAAACAAATAAAAGTGGAAACTATTTAATGGTTAAGGAAAACATTACGTAAAAGAAGACTGAATTAAATACATAGCTGGTGGTGTGTTATGGTGTAGTAATAGCAGTTATCCAGTGTGCCACTACTAAACATGGCAGGATTTCTCTGGGTACTGCAAGGTCGTCCTGTACAGTATTAATAATGGTCGTAATAAAGTATCAAAGAACTGATCAACTGCCCAAACAGTAAGTAAGCTGATAGGTAAATATAAATCTGGTGAATGATAAATTTGGTTGCCATAAGTTCAGAAAAGGAGATTCAAATGCAGTTCAATCCTACAAAGTCATATAATGTCTTAAAAATTAATGTCTTTTGTTCAGTAACTAGATTGTCTCTATGAAAAAGACATTTATATAGAGAAAAAATATTTTTATAAGGAATCCAAAGTGCAGGGAATGGATTACAAGATAAATATATTGAAAATTTGGTACTACTATATTGTACCAACATAGGGATCACCTGAAGATTTGCCACCCCAGCTTATATCAACTCAAGATTAACTACCCTAATGCTGATCTTATCTATACTAACCTATCATAATAAGCAAAGCCTAACCTATCCTTATCTAGCACCCCCAGGTAGCATTAGGGTGTTTAGTCATCAGGTGAAGTAAACTGGGGATACTGATCTTCAGGCAATGCCTTCTGGACATTGTCATCAATCAAAACTGGAATTATATTTTTCAAGTTAAAATTACAGGGAAACTTGAACTATGATTCGTCAAAAAATATATAATTTTCCTTTGTCGAGAGTCATAGCATTGCGTTGGTGATCTATAACTCAAAATACACTGCAAAGTGGCTACAGTACATTACCAGACTCATATGGAGATAATGAAAGACTGACTAAGCTCTGTGTAATGTATGTGTATGTTTTTTCAGACAACATGGACTCCTGGGTTACTATAAAGGACTGTTCCCAAACCTCCTTAGAGTTGTCCCTGCGACGGCCCTCACCTTTGTTGTGTATGAGAAATCATCACATTTCCTGCTCAATTTACGGAAACCGGAGGAACCTAGTCAAGAGGAGACCAAGTCCACTTCATGATCTATGTTAGTAACTGTGAGTAACTCTCCTGTGTTGTGGAAGATTATACAAATTGTGTTGACTTATCATGCACAGTAGTGCGATGGTATTATAGGTATTCAGTCCAGTCGGGTAATTCAGTATTCAAATATGTTCACATGAGTACAATGAGTTAGTTTATTGTATGAGAAAACATTATATATTTCACAAATGCATATTTTACCTCACTACATCATATCATAAATCATGCTTTTGATTCCACTCATATATGCTGAAAAAGATATTAAGATATTTTTTCTTTTTCAGGAACAGCAACGGTGGCTTGTTATCATGTAAGATGTCAAGTTTACCAAAGGGAGCAACCAAGTTTTAAAAGGTTATTACACAAGCCTCAGTATAGTATATGATATATAATTTTTTGTTGTGAAGTTAACCAGATAGGGGCCAGTCTCCAAGTTGTTGTAACTATGTCAGTAATAAAAATCAATATTATTATGCATGTCTGTCAACAATAGCAGCTATAAATGGTTGAGAAGACAAGCAGGAGGTTGTCAGGAGGAACTTGAGTACTTCCATAAAGGTTGTGATGGTGAGGTCTGGTTACTACTGATGCTTTGTGCTGCAGAAAGGTGGATATTTATTTAGAAAAATCGTCATATAAGTTACAATTGAATCACCATGAACATAGACCATGCAGGTATACAACCATCACACCTAGGCAGTGCATGGTTTTATTTACTCACGATAATTAGGGTCTGTCTTGAGAACAACACAAGTATTGAGACAAAGTGTCACTCACCAAAGTCCTCATAGACAGCACTCTATTTATTAGCATTATGTTGTCTCTGGGGAAGGCCTAGTGCTCCATGCCTCATTATTGTGGGCACATACTGTACACTCATCCATATATAATGAATTACTGTAAAAGATTTAGTAGTTAAGTCATGAGGTATAATGATGGGTTGGTAATATTATATGGCTTATTCAGGTCACAGATCATTATGTCTGATGGTTGACCAAAATAAGTGTGTATCAAAATTTCATGTGAGGTCAGACGTCATTGTGTCACAGCCCTACATGTACTCTATAGTAATGAGAGGATTTGGTTAATCTGAATTTAAATGTGTTGACTTGTTAAACGAGTTGATGCAGTATATGGAGTTTGTCAACCCATAATCAATGGCTAAGGATTCCCCATTCTCTCCCCAATATGCTCAAAAATGAAACGCAAGAAACATGAAGTTTCCTCTGTCCCTAAAGCGAACTTCCATCAATGATAGCCAATGTTTAAGGGTTCAGCATTAATACAATAAAACTGATTGAGAATATATATATATATATATATATATATATATATATATATATATATATATATATATATATATATATATATATATATATATATATATATATATATATATATATATATATATATATATATATACTGTATATATATATATACTATATATATATACTATATATATATATTTATTTATTTTATCTTTAGTTGAACTCGTAGAAATACAACACTAGGTGGGCTGGACAATGGAGGATAGGATGTTGATGGGTTTCTGTTTATTTCTAATGGCAGATGATGTGAATGAACTAAAGCTAATTTAACCTATTAGAAATGTAATACAGGACTGTTAGGTTAAGTTAGGTTTAATTTGGTTGTTCGTGTCAGCTGCCCAGCACTCGCCAACAGAGCATAACGGAAACATGACCAACCACCCAAGAGCTAAGTAATTTTTCTGCAAGTCTCACCAAAAATAAAGAATGACTCCAAAGAACGTAAAAAGATAATTCATTACTGTACTAGGTGATTTTTTTCTTTTTCTATCAAGTGCTTGTCTCTGGAGACAATAGACGCCAGATTTATAGAATTTTGCTATCCTTCTTTGGTAATAATATGTTTAGTAGTGAATTTAGAGACTTAGTTGTTTGTGTTTGAAATTGTTTATTAGTTAGTTGTGTTTGAGTGGCTCAGTAGGATAGAAGGATGATGATGGTGTTGATGTTGTGTTGTCCATGTTAGTCTTGTGGTTCATAGAGTAACAATATTTCTCACTTTTATTTACTTTATTTCTCTGCTGCTATGTTTCACATTTCCAGTATGGTTGGGATATTTTTATTTCTTAAACAATAGAAAATACAAGGAAAGGTCATTGATGTTATAATGTTATTACTGTACTTCACTTCAGTAACTAAAACCATTAAATATGTTACAAGATTAGTCATTACACTAATCCATTAATAATTACTGTATATTCTATGAGAAATACAACTGTGTGAAAGGTCAACATATTGTCAAATACAGGGTGTCTCAATGAAAATGTATAATGTACTTTATGCACTGCCATATAGATTTTCATAGCATCTGTGAGAATGATCGTACAGGTATTACAAGAACAATATTTTCTTCGCTTGTCAATGTGCAAGATCTCAAATAATGCTATTCCAGACATCACACATTAACAGGTGAGGATAATGTTTCTTTTGTAATGTGCAGTACTGTACAATCTTCCTCGTAATTGCCACAAAAATCTGTACGGTAGTATGTATACATTTTGTGAGACACCCTGTATATTCTGCAAGTCTTCTCCATGCCAAAGATGGAAGATATACAATGCATTAAAACTGCTACCTAAAACTTCACACAACTTCACCAAAATCACTTTAGTCATTATCTTGCTGTAACTTTCATTCATCTTATGTTTAATGTAAGGTGTTCCTTCTCCTGTAGTCACTTATCAGCCTTGTATTCAGTGTTGGTAAGATACAATGAGATTAATTCAATGCTAGATTGATGACTACAGATTCCAGGATATTTGAACTGTTTATAGGGAAAAATTGGTGTTCACATAGCATTAAATATATTCTCATTGTACAGTCACCCTACAAAAGTCATGTCTCCTCTCCTTCTGAATCACAAACCTTAAGACACAGACTCATGAACCCGAATCATTTATGTACAGAATAATGCATGTGTCTACTGTTTCAGGTTCATGGGTCTGAATCTCAGGGTTCGGGGTTCAGGAGGACAGGCGACAGGACTTTTGTGGGTGACTGTACAAACATATCATTCATGTCATTACTGTAGTTTCTTTTACTATAGAATATTGAACTCTTGTAGATCAGGGTCCAAGTGTCTTAGTTTTATTTTGTACTTTATACAGTACAGTATGTGGGATATATGTACCTGTAGTGTATTTGATAATTTTGACTCATATATTATATTCTGTTGATGTTTAATAATGAATCTCATAAATTAGATCCACACTGAATTTGTATGAGCTGAAGATTAACACTCTTAGCTTGACTTAATCTAATTTAACCCAACCTGACCGAATCTACCCCCTCAAGTAGCATTAGGTTGTTAAAACATCTAGTGAAATAAGCTGGAGTATCTAATCTTCATCTGTCCATATGCTTTACTCTATCCTCTCAATTCAGTGTTACTTGTTTGGCCACCTTCATTTTTTTAGGAATGAACACGTGGTCTTGGTAGATGACATACAGTACAGTATTTGTAAATTTAGCATAGCTTGTTAATACCTGTACTGTAGTTTGATCTCTTGTCTTCAGAGTATACCTAGTCAAGTTACCATCATGTTAGGTTACATGTGTTCAGTATGAGGTGTTTGGTAATAGAATCATTTTGTCTCTTAATTTCTACATCATAAACGTTGGGACTTGGTGCATCATCAACCAGATAGGCATATTTAGTCTTATGTGTTTATTTGGTTTATGTACTTTTATTATGCCAGATACTGTCATTTATCAAGTTGTTTTGATGTTCTCTGGAGTTTACAGAAGGGATGTGTTCCTGACAACTATTCATTAACGGAAAATCTGTAAATCAAAGCAGAGTTTCCCATTGACTGCTACAGTATTTTATACTTAATGGAATATCCCACCTGATGTATAAGTTCTCTCGGTCTCCACAGGTGTTGTCTGTAGGGTGCGGTGTACACAAAATTTCTCTGCTGCCTCCGTGCCCCCCAGTACATGATACCTGTACACTATGCACATTCAATGACCTCGAGATCCCCTCATAAACAACTTATAGCTCATACCACGACCTTCCCAGTCAATACCGGGAAATTCCACAAGGTTACCCTCACAATGACGTGCCAGCCTTCAGTATGGGGCGGACAGTTTTTCTTCCCTTACTCATTTTTTATTCTGTAGTAGCAATGGAAAGGTAGTTTAGTTCCAGCCATCTTTGTTTGGTTTACCTGGCTTTGATCGTGTAGACTCAGTGTGATGATACAGGAGTTGTCTAGTCCAGATGCCTTTGGTTGAGGTTTATTGTGCAGTATATTATTTATATTACTGTTAAGTATTATTCTTGAATATCATCAAGTTTTTAGGACAAGTTTATTCAAATTATCAATGCAATTTCACCAAAAACACAAATGATCAAAGATTATTCTTTCAAGTCTTTTTCACCTGATGATTATACACCCAAACATTAACCTAACTTAACCCTCCTAGGTATCATTAGGGAGTTCCATCATCAGGTGACATAAGCTGGGGTAATCTTCACATGATTCCATGTATTTTGGGATCACGTAAGATCTGTCATGTGACCACAGTTAGCAGAAAGTTGAAATTGTTCGCCCAGGCTGGTAATATACGAGTAACTCCTACAAGAGAGGTGTGCACGAGGTTGTCACCATACTGTACATGGAAAGTCTGTTGTGCTGCATGGTAAAGCATAATGTTGCTGTCTGTATAATTGAGTTACTATAATCAGTTTCTCTTGATGAAATAAATGTACAAAGCAATAAATGGATTGATTGAAGCATTTATTTTTTAGCTGTTTTACCATCATCAAATTGTGGAGCAACTGTTGTCTTCATTCAGTTCTTTTGACTCTTTATTAGTTAAATAGGTAAATGTGTACATTATTGATAACCTCATTTATTGAATACCCAACATAGCCATGAACTCTTGTATTTTATGTCACTTTGTCTTTCTGTAATCCCTGGTATGGATGATAGGAGGGAGAGAGAGGGTAGAATTATGGGGTGAAGGACTCGCTAAAATTAAGGGGGATGAACATGGTATAGTGATTTTTGGAGGTAGATAAGGTGCTGGTAGGTAGGTGATACTAGTAGATGTGGTGCTGGTAGGCTAAGTAGATAGATACTGTATTGAAGTCTTGCTGTGGATGTCATAATTCAAGAGCCCATACCTGTCCACACTAGTTAGCTGACCAGGGGTGAAAAATATACTGTAACCATAGAACACCTGTCTTTCCTCAATATGAATGATGAGTGTCAGTAAATTCAGAGATGATGTCTGTGTGTGAGTTAGGTTTGGTTTTGTGTGTGTGTGTTCTATGTTAATTTGGAATAATCTAAATAATCTTAAAAATGCAACTGTTGTTTTTGCTAGAAAGGGATAACTTTGTTTGTATTTATTACCTTATAGGTATGGTAAAATACGTAACGCATTGTTTATTATCATACGGTATACTGTAGCTACTGTATATTAGGTTAGGTTAGTAAGATGCTATTCATTTATAATTTTTATTTAGATTATCTACAAGATCATCTCTATATATCAACCAGTTTAAATTAAAACAAATTAATGGTAAAAATTATTGCTACTTCTCAAATTTCCCATTTTAACATGTCATTATGTAAGGACAGTTATGCTTATAGGGCCCACTTTTACATCATTTCATGTACTGTAGGCAAACATACAGCACAGAAAGGCAAGAGCACTGTGTGTTTCAAAGCTTACGGTCAAAATATACAGTGCTGTTGTTTTTCTGTGTGTTTACTCTGCCTACAGTACAGTACAGTATAGCAATAAATTAATAAATTGCAGTAAAAACAAATGACATTATGATTAGACTATGAAATAAATAACTTATACAGTAATAACAACTTGAGAATTAATAATATTCCTCTCTTAGTTACAATTTTTACAATTCATCTCAACACCTACACTCCCTAAGCAGTTTTATTAATACCTGTACAAGGTCAAAGTCATTCACAATACAGTACAGTAAACTCGTCTTAACAAAAAATTATAACATCGTTTCAAGCAACCTTTGATGACCATCATGTTGTAGAACTGTACATTGTACTGTACAATACAGTACCTGTACATAATTAAGCTTGTCCTTAATTGCCAGCCAATTTGTATGGGGAATCTGGCCCCAGCAAGGAACTTACATCAGTGCACATCAGGGTTTTTTTTCTGTCACTACATTAGTCCTGTGTACACTAGCAGGATGCACCTTTGAGCTATGAAGTTGATTATAACTGTGAGAGGAATGTCTGGCTCTGTGAGTGTTCTACAGACTGAATTGTAAAACTCGAGGAGTTTAGGGGAAATTGAGACCTTGTCAGTACTGGGGGGTTGTGCTTGTTGAGGCAAACCAGGTGACTGCAGGAAAACATTTTGGGCAGGTTGTTTGTAAACATTGGAGATGTGAGGGCTTGGAGGACCTACCAAAACTCCTTGGTTATCAGACTGATGTGTTGGAGGAAGTGAAAACTGGTTGTTGGCATTGGACTGCTCAAAATTATGAGAGAATTCTGTAGGAGATGAAGGTTCCAACTTATTTATGGGAAAACTTTTCCTTAAATTCTTGGCAACTCTTGAACTATTAGGAACACTGAGATGTGAGGAGAAATCGTGAGCACTTCCCTCAGGGGGATTGTTGTATCTAACATTCTGGCCGATGATTCTGTGATGCCCTGAGAGGTCTCCTGCCAGAATGGGGGTTAAAGGACTGTGAGGAAGATCTTCGCCACTGCTAATTGGATGGACTGGCATATTTTGCTCCTTTAGGAGTGAAATTTCATCTGATTGATGAGTTTTTGGTGCAGCATATTTCTGATGACCGTCATTAGTTACTGCAGCAACTTGCTTTTGCTGAATTTCATCTGAGGTCTCACTCGACACCGATAGTCCTGAGTGTTCAGAGACACAATCCTCCGAGATAATACCTGGATATAATGAATCAGTGACTGGTCTAGTAGAGTCTTGAGTGTCCAACTCATCCTTTGTGTCAGTGATAGTCCTCATATTGATTATTTTTTTAGTTTGATAATTTAGGATACATCTTTTCACATTGTTTTGTTTTCCATTAACTGTTCTCTCTGGCACTGTCATGGGAATAGACAGTTCACCGTGTTCATCTGGGCTTGGCATAGCCTGTTCATCTTGGTGTTTTATCAAGAACTTTTTCAGTAATGATAAAAGCTTGCCTGTGTTACCATCAGTCAATTCCTCCAGAAGATCTCTGGCTATTGGCATATGAGACAAACTCTCAACTTTCTTCTCTGCAGTCTTGAGAAGATATTCTTTGTTCTTGGTAATGTAGGTATAGATATTATCTGTCATTGCTCTAGAACTCTTAGAGTCTGGTATCATCAGTGAATTATATATGTATTCCAGGTCACTGGAAGGCCCAGCTACAGTCCTACTGTTCAAACTTGGTGTATATTTATCAATGAATTCCTTGGCATGTTGTGGAGTCAGAACCAAATAGCGGACATCCCTTCTGCGTCGCCTTCCCAGAAAACCAAGAAGTGGAGCCAGGACAGGTATAGCTATGGCTGAGGTTGTGCCAGCTGCCACTAGACATGCGAGAAATATGGAACATGCTTTACTCTTAACACAATGCTCAAGACCTTTTGTTTCTTCAGGTTCAGCGGGCGTACTACCAGAACGAATATTTAACGGTGATGCAGGTGGCGATGCAGGGGGCTGTGGTTCATCTGACTGCATAAATGTATTGCTGTGTATGGCTGGGATGTAAGGAATGTCATCATTTTCATCATTTACTGTAAGCTTCTTGGCTGGTGGCCACTGCTGTAACATCTGAGATTGCAACAAACTGGCAAGAATTAGGTCCTCATTGCTGATATTGTTTACTGGGTCACTTTGTTGCATTGGAGGTGGCACATTAGGCTGGTTTTCATAATGGTATTTCGTTTTCAAGAACTCAAGGTATACGCTAAGGGCATGAATCTGATCAATTGTTGTCTGTGATCCCTGTTGACCCAACAGAAGTGTTCCAGGATCCTGAAGAGGAGGAGTGTTTGGGCCTGGCAACATCATCTGATGCTCAAACTGATTGACAAGTTTGTTATGGTTCAGTTGATTATTCTTCTCCAGCAGAGCATTTGCTTGGTCTTGATACACAGGTATTGTTGTCTGGATGTTTGGCGAGTCATTACCTGGGACAGGTGAAAAGAATGCATGGTTGGGAGTTCCCTCTGTGGTTAGGCTCACAGGAGTAGCAGATGGTGATATACTATGGGGTATTGTTGGTTCAGGGGAGTGGTGGTTGTGATCTACCTTGCTTTGAGAGTTCACAATCTTATGGTTATCATGTAAGTTATCACTGGAGATGCCTGACGTGGGGAGAGAAGAAGAATCACCCAAAGGATTATTGTCAGTGAAGTAATTCATATGGTCCAGCTCCGTGTTGCGTGCTTGTATCTGGTGCATGCCAGCCTGATGGTGAGGCATGGCTGGAATTCCAGGAGGCAAACTTGATCTCCATTCTTGGAATTTCATTTGATTCCCATCATCCTGTGGTACTTGGTACTGGGTAAGGTATTCTGTGGTTACCTCTGCTGGAGGCTTCCTAAAACTGCTGCCATTGTTTTGTGACATCACGAGAGCATTATGAATGTGCTTCTGAGGAGGGGTTTGTTGTAACTCTTCTTGGTTCATCAGGACAGTGAGAAATTGAAGATTTGTTAATATGTCAGCCATATCAGCTTTTCTCTCCTGGTGTGGTAAGCTAAGATTGTCTAACATGTGAACATTTATGGTATTTCCTGGAGGAAGTTTTGATGAGGCACCTGTGTCTGTCACTATAACTGAGGGCTGCCTGTGTGAGGTATCGTCAGCTGGTGGTTTTGTTGTAGAAAATTTGCCACTAGGATTGACTCTGGGAGGGTGTTGGTCACCAAGTTTCTGAGTATTCTGACTCACAATTCCTTGTGGTTGATGGCGAGGGTGACTTTGAGTATTAGGCAGACGTTGATAATTTGGATGATTCTGCGGGTTATGCTGGTTCTGGGAGTTCTGATCTTTCAGTAAAATTTGGGATTCTGGTTCTTTTTTACGAGTGAGTAGAGCCAGTTCCTCAATTGTCATTAGTTTAGAATTAATTCTTATTGTTGGTTCCTTGTCATGCATGTGTGCCTGTGATGTTGAAGGAAGTGAATTTGAGGAAGGAGGCAGTTGGTGTGAGGGGGACTGTTGAAACCCTACACTGGGGTTTGGGTTGAACTCCTGTGAGCCAGAGTGATAATGCAGATGGGTGGGTGCTGGGATTGGTGCTGGACGGTGATACTGACCTAGGATGTGCACCGCATTCCCATGGTTCAAGTACAATGGGTAAGAAGAACTCTCTATCAACTGCTTCAGGACACGTGCCTCTTCATGTGGTAATTGTTCCGGGACCTGAAAGTTTGCATTCCTCTGCATGTCAAGACACAGCTCTCTAGCCAGTGTGTTCGAACTATTTTCGCAGTTCAAGGAATTTCTCACACTCTTTATATACACATTGTTAGGCATGCTCAGAGGATTTACAGAAGCCGTCTCTATTGTGTCATTAACTTGTCCGTTTTCAGTATTGGTTGAGGGGATTCCAGGTGGAGGGAGAGCAGAGCCTTGGGTGTCGTGGCTGAATGTCACCATCACACACACCACCAACACATGGCTGGACAACATAATCTACCACTCCCTGCAATGATAACATATGATTAGTGTTGAATTAACTACGGGAGGTAGAATAAGCTAGTTATTACAACTTTAGCAGGCATGAATGGATCATTAGTCACACTTTTGAATAATAGCATGAAATGGAAATAAGCTTTTATAGGCGTTTTTACAGTATTTGATTCAGTTTAATGTTTACCATTGTTTATACAGTATACAGTACCCGCCATGTCCTGTACAGTACATCATGATGATGGACCAATGCAAAGTTCTATGATGATTTCACTGAACAGTGAATACTGTATATATCACTTGAATGGCTTGAGTGATATATATATATATATATATATATATATATATATATATATATATATATATATATATATATATATATATATATATATATATATATATAAGTAAATCACTGTAGGTGCGCGTGAATTACACATAGAACTTCGTGTTTTCTTCTTTCCTTGTGGTTATATATATATATATATATATATATATATATATATATATATATATATATATATATATATATATATATATATATATATATATATATATATATATATATTTCATGTAGATCCAATGAAAATGGACATCTTCAGATAAGATGTGCCTGCTCCGTTTTTCCCATATATATATATATATATATATATATATATATATATATATATATATATATATATATATATATATATATATATATATATATATATATAACAGACTGATTGTTCGAACGGTTAGTTCGCTTATAATTGGTGAAATAATAAATAAAAAAAGTTGGCATCATACTTGAAGTTCAACAGAGCATGACCATCATCACTTAGAACTCATCTAGAAACAAGTAGTCACACTAAATAAAGACTTTGAGGAATTAAATCTGTCAACAGAAGATTCCTTTAAGAACTGGGTCAGGTGTGGCACTGTACCCTACCTTACTGAGGATCACGTGAACTGAAGATTAGGCAGTTCAGCTTATTTCACCTAAGGTTTAACCACCCTAACGTACCTTAACCTAACTAACCTATCTTAACCAAACTCACTCTAAGCCCCCTACCTTAACTTAACCGAACATTAAACCCCCTCAGGTATCATTGTACAGTATTGCTCTATCTTCGCCACTTACGTTTACTTACCGGACAATCTTGTTCTCTGTTAAACACTGTTGACGAGTCTATTCTAATATGACCTCAGAGTCGGTACTGTCACATCATTACCTGGCAGGTTATTCCAGGAGTTAATAACTTTTACTCTAAAGAAGTTCTCTATGGTCGTTTTGTGTACTGATAAATTCTTTAACTTGGGGCCGCCATTTGCTTAATTTTAAGAATAAGAGGAGTATAATGTCTGTACTGTAGTCTTTGTGTAATTTTGACGCATTTTTGTTTACTATGTGTTGTACGGTTTAAGTCAATAAACCAAATGCTTTTTACGTCTGTAGTTAGAGAGATAATGAACGAAACTATTAATCCGGATCTTAGAGAGGCCTTGTTGACGCTCCCGCTCACTTGCAGGCTGCAGCTGCCTGGCTGTGTCTACTGTCACTTAATCACTTGATTCCCTCATGTCAAGTGAGGTAAGATACTCTCTAAAGGTGTTTATTGATTGGTGTATTATATACGGTAAACGAAACTTGTAGTGATAAAATAAGTATAGGAAAATTTGACCACGATCTAAGTTATGGACGAGTCCGATGAGGAAACACTGAATGGCTGGGTTGTGGACAAGGAATAGTGAGACACCGGAGAAGCTAAGTAAGTTACTGAATATATAATTCATGCCCCAGTAATGGCTGCTCCACCTTTACCCATGTACTGTACCTCACAGAAACAAAGAGAAAACGTGAATAATCAGAAATTGTGTATTTATATGGGGAACAACAATATCTTAGTGGTTGTTGGGAACCTGTACTTAGTTGCCCCGAAAATGAAAATTGTATTGTTATTTTTGTTTTTGTTTTTACATTTATTTAGGTAAACCGCCATGCAACTGAACATTTGGCCAGCATGTTCTTAGTGTTCGTATAACTAGTATAACAAAGGTAAACGGTAGGTTGGTTCAACCATGTATAACCCAAGAAATACATTTAAAGATTGCGATGGGATACTTAGTTCACGGTCCTTCACTTCCGCTCAAGGAAGGTAGAGTACCTTCCTTGGTTCCGCTATTTGTCCGGCATTCGTTCTGATTGATTGAGTCTGATAGTCCAGATGATCCAGTTGTAACCATGGTCGATACTGTTTAGTTTTTTAAACCCCGATCCTATAAAATAGGAGTGTGTGTCCGTCCGCACTGATCATTTATATATTAATAAGTCAAATAGAGAGATAGTTATTCAGTCGAATCGTCATACATAGGATCAGCATGTGTATAGGCAATGACATAGCCGCAATGCAGGTGTTACAATATAAAAAAGTGCATACATACCGTGTACATACATTATTGATATATTGTACATACACATTGCAGATATATAAACAATGGTAAACACTCAGTCTATTCAAGCAAGTATGTCCAATAAAGTCAACATATACTTTATTTTCAATAAAGTCCTTTGCAAAATAATTTTTCCTCCCCGGCGGGGAATTGAACCCCGGTCTCCCGCGTGACAGGCGGGGATACTCACCACTATACTACCGAGGACGTGTAAGTCATGAGGAGGGTTGAAATAAAAGATACTCAGCAGATTCAGATCAACATCTAATTTAACGTTTATAACCAACATTTATGCCCTTATGATTCCTCTTGAATTTGAAAATTTGGCAGGATTGAAGTTATACACTGGCCTCAATACTATTTGTAAGCCCAAGGCGGAAAAATAATGTACCTTCATAATGATTATGGTCCTAAGAAACATGACGAAAGCGACCACCTATGGCAAAACGTGTATTGTGGAGAAGTAATAATGTAATTAATACAGATAATAATGTATGGTCACCGGGGTTGGAGGATGGAATTTTAGATGACCTAAATATACCATTAAATCTAGTGAGATCTCGGTAAGTAGGGAGAAGCACGTGGGATTTTATCGAGTGAAAAACTGAAGAGAGATTTTGTCCCTCGGGATGATGTGAGCACCGGTACTTGGAACCTCAGGTAAAGACCTGAAGTGGACCATCTGGCCGAGCAACACCTCCCCCAGGGTATCATCGTGTTTACTAAAAACTAGTCACTCGATCACAAAGCTCTTACTGTTTATTTGTCAAGCAATAATCCAGCAGGGACACGACGAATGTATCAAGAGGATCGGACAAATTCTTAAGAATTCGTATATCGACATTTAAAAAAAAAAAGATATAAAACGCAGCTGACTGCCTTACTAGACCTAAACCTAAAAAATCCTCCAAATGCCATCAATAATTGCGTTACTATTTTAACTAGATATGTCCACTAGTTATGAGTACTCACACTGGGAATATCGAGTCAGGTTGATAGCTAACCCGACAAAATCTGCCCTTATTGATACACTACCTCACGTTAACTAGACCTTAGTTGTGTCTTAGGACTTTATCACTTGGTAATATCCCAAAATGTTCAATAATTAATACTAATAATAAACGGTTTGTTGAAAAACACAACAGCCATATCCTGAAAATATGTAAATGACCTGATTGGTATATGCTGTAAATAACATACAACACACACACGTATTATTGTTGGTGCCCTATTTTGTCTTCCAGATTCACCTTGTGTTTTAGGCTTCGGTATGATTATAAACCATGTATAATCTTATATAACTTAATTCTACCCTAACTTACTGTAGCTTAATCTAGTGTAACCCAACACAATATACTTAAACCAAACTACCGAACCAGAGTTAACATCACTCTACCCTTACTAAACCCAAATTAACCTAATTGATTTTAACCAAACATTTCATTCCATATAACCTATTTTTTTATAACCAAACCTTACATTTATCGCTGTATTTTGTTTAGTGAGAAATTACTTGTGATAATTTTGGGTCATCCGAAGATTGGGCATCCTAGCTAATTAAACCTGAAAATTAACCACCCTAATTTTACCTTGGGTTCGCGTTATGTTGTTATAATCATTAAGTTATATGAATAAAATGTCTTAATCTTGAACGTGGTAGTATTTTTATTAGCGTGTGAGGTTTAGCATCAATGTCCGGGTGTTGAGTGAGGGTTGGTTATACAGGTCACACTACGCTGTAGGTTGTGAAACTCAGAGCAGCAGCAACGGGACAGCTCCCCAGAGGCCTTAAGACCTGCTCACCCGCAACTCCCAGCAACCATACCGGTACACACTCGTTTTGCCTTAAGATTACAAACTATTTCACCTGCCATGTGATTTTCTCCCTTATGAACTACCCGAGTTAACGCTATCCTCCTACAAATTTGGGGGGATATTGAAGTTAGTTACAGTTTTCGTTAGTGTGCTACTTGTGAGGTGCTTCATTCACTAGTAGTATAAAGTGGCCTGTTTAATCTAATCTAGTTTAATTCTACTACTTGGAGACTTAATTAAGTAAATCTTAAAGACGCAAATGCAGGTTCAGAAGTTTCATATCTGCACATTAAACACTGCAGTATTGTCGACCAGTGTTATGAATAGGTCAATTTTCTACGCGAATGTTTATTATATTAATGTAATGACAAGTTCACTATCCTCCACTTCCATGCCTTTTCTCATTTTCCCCTCGTCACATACTTAAGCTACCAAAAGTCTCATCCCATTTTATCCAAAACATTGAGCTTGGGTGTCCAGTCAAGAGTTATTTCATTAAGTTTGGTTGGTGCCTGTCAGGACTGGGCCCATTTCTCCTGAACCCGAACATAGGGCGTGTAGCATCCATCTGTGGTGAATGTCTCAGTGTAGTTTAGTCATTAATTTTTTAACATTCACTAAACGTTGTAAAACTTAATCAAACTCATTGTATTTAACAAAAGCTAACCCCGATCATCCTTAATCATAACCTAACTAAAACAGAACAATCTATGTGATCTTAACATAAAAAATTACCGAACATAACATATTCTACTTACTGTATATTGTACGAGTATTTGTAGAAAAAAATCATTATATATCTTCCGTACAACAGTTGCGGCCGAAATATCCCGGACTTTTAGCAGTATCTAACCGGTGGTACTTTTCAATGTAAAGTTTATTAGAATAGTAACATGAAAAAATACTGTATAATGCAAAAAAAAACAAAAAAAAAATCACCCCCTCCTGTTACTGATTTGACTGGAGTAGATAGATGTTGATGGCAGTTCTGTACGCTCTCACGCTGCGTCCCGTCCCAGGGTCGAACCCCGGGTCAGATGAGAACGGTGCTTACCAGTGCTACTCTATACCACACTTAACTGTGGTTCTGCGGTAGATTTCCAACTGGTTTGACTATTCTCAAGCGCCAGTCTACACAAACGGTCATAACGGCATATTACCACCAGGTATATGTCTTGTGGGTATCAGTTACTTGTAAAGTTTATTAATGGCTGCACTTGACACAGTAGGTATATATTTATTTTTAAGTTTAATCGCTACACAAGGTCGGTGGTATAGCTGCTACACGCTTGACTCGACCGGCTTTGCTCGGGTGTGAGAACGGCGTTGACCAATCCGACCTAATTTAACCTAACCGAACTCAACATAACCTAACTTAGCCTAAACTAACCTAAAATAGTTTAACTGTATTTAACCTCACCTCAGTAACCTACCATAACCCAAACCAAGTAGCCTAATCTAACCTAACAATAACCAAACCTAATCCGACATAACCCATATTTAATTAAGATTCTACCTACAAAACATAACCGAATATATAATTACCTTGCTACACCAGGCCACTGTAGGAGCCTCGTGTGTAGTGTGATGTGGTTTAGGTGTTCCAGTGGGCGTGCGTCTCTCGTCAGGCACCCGCTCTCACTGCTGTTACAACTCTGAATGAGCTGAACCGAGTCTACGGCCGGACTGCCCAATACCTTAATGTGGTTTTTTTTTTTTTTTGCGGGAGGTGTTTGGAGAGAAATTAGTTGATAAAGAGAAATTAGATGAGAGTAACTAGTTGAGATAGATTAGTTGATAGAAATTTAATAAGAGAGAAATTAGGAGAGAAACGTATTAGTTGATAAAAAGATAAATTAGTTGAGAGAGATTTTAGTTGATAGCAAATAATTGAGATAAATTAGTTGATAGAGAGGTAATTTTTCAGAGCGAGATTCGCGGAAAAAATAATAATGAGAGAATGACGAATGAGATATTCAATATAAGGTAAATGTTTACGACACAGATATCACTAGAAACTGTTTTTTTTATTTCTTTATTTTTGTTATACCCTGTACTTATTGTTTTGATGATTTTAAGTTTATTAAAAGAAGCGACAACTTTCTATTATAATTTTAAGTATTTATTAGGATTTTTTTATTTACTCTATCCTACGATCTTAAATTTCTTGTTAGTGAGCAGGGCATGAAAGATGAGGGAAAAAACTGGGTAAAAACACGGCGAACACTGTATTATGCTAATAGTGTGTACAGAAAAAAAAGAAACCAACTCGCATTTTTCCTTCTAGTGATAGCTGTTTTGTAAACCTTTGCCCAATATAATAAATATTTAAGGAGGCAAAAGTTACAGGATACCTTCATTGAAATCACAAGAGTGTACACAAAGAATGTCAGTATATGAAACGCCTTAAAAATATAAAATAGTTTCTGTAAAATATGGGACGATACGTTTAAGAGAAAATTTTGTATTCCTGGTTGTTTCTATGGGTAACTCAAGCAATGTTTATTAAACTTATCTTATTGATTAGTATTATGAGTGTCATCCCTTAACTGATCTTTTATGTTCTTTAGATGAATTATGTTTCTTTCACGATAATAATGAGTTGTAATCTTTATTTTGACAGATATAGATACACAACCTGGACGACTACAGTGTTTTGACGGCACCGAGTGTGAGCTCTTACAAGACCAGATTTGACCAACACTGGAGCGGGTTCAGGTACATTCAGGAGCCGGTGCATGCCCAGTATTTGCCAACAGTGCGTGACAGAGACGTGGCCGCTCGCCTAAGCTACTAACGAGCCGATCAGTGGTGAAGAGGATAAAAGTAAGAAAAAAGTACGGGTTACGTTAGGTTAAGTGAGTTGTGTTAGGTTAGGCTAAGTGAGTTATGTTAGGGATGATTAAGTTAGGTTGGGTTGTGTATTGTGAGGTAGGATTTCACCGGACAGACGCCAGTAGGGCCCAGGGACACTGTAGGTAGAACAAGAGAAGGCGTGGTACAACACTCGTAGGTAAACATTGATGTCGACAGTACATCCGCTCATTAACATTCCTCTACACTGTGTTACGTTCGTGTTGTGTTGACGGCTGTAGAATTAGTAGTAGTAGCTAGTGAGTGAGTGAGTTAGTTAGAAGTAGTAGTGGTTATTAGTTAATTAGGAAGTGGTTTGCATTTCTAAGAAGAATATTATGATTTTTTGACTGGTATTGGCTGTAACTTAGTAATATATGTATGGTTATAATATTAGTGATTATAATTACATTACTTTAGTTATCGATCATCTAGGTCCGCTCACCAGGTTTTACGATCAGCCTCGAGTCAGCACCTATCAGCGCTTGTCAGCACCTGTTGTATATCTCATAATGACTTCATCACCTCAGTATTTTGTATCATTATGTGTTCAGTATAGATCTACAGTATCCTAAGTAAGGATCAGCGGCCAGCTCACGTATTCCTGGCATTATTATTAAAGATTCTCATACTTAGCCCACCAACCTGTTCCGCGTCGAGTATTATTTTATCACACACACACACATACGTACGTTCATTTAGATTTATCACACACACACACGTTAGGTTCTATGGGCGTTAGTGGGCGGGTTTATTTAGGTATATGGGTGTGTGGCCAGCCTGTGTAAAGGTCACTTGGACTTGAGAATTGGGGGTGGAAAGACTGCAGTAATTTTGCCGGTTATATTATTTCGTGTGTATGAAAGTTGTGTTGATAGAACTTGTTATTATTATTATTATTGTTATTATTATTATTATTATTATTATTGTTGTTTTATTTTTTATTATTATTATTACTATTATTGGATTCGCACAACTACATACATACACACACACTATGATATATCCAGTATTACTCTCTACTGCACATAAGACGCACAAGTTAAGAAACTACAATAAATATCTACCCGTATCTATCTATCTATCCAATCTGTTTGTCTGTAATTGAAACCAGGAATCGATAAGTTACCCCTCTAGAACATTCCTTCACGCGCTAAATACATTCGTCACTGGAGTCAGGAGAGGCGGGTATTAAGTTCACTGAACGCTAAAGGAAATGCTGACGTTCTTTACTGGGTGGAATAATGTGTCATGTCTCACTTAAATACTTTTTGAGTTCACTTATATGATAATAAGTAAAGGTGTTGTTTTTGTTTGTCATTTGAGAGAGAGAGGGGTAGGGAGGAGAGAGAGGGGTAGGGAGGAGAGAGAGAGAGGGGTAGGGAGGAGAGAGGGAGGGGGTAAGGGGAAGAGAGAGGGGGGGTAGGGAGAAGAAAGATAGGGAGAGAGATACCAAACAGGCTTAGAAAATTAATCCCATTAGAATTGATAGCAGAGTGAGATAGTCGCCTGTGTGTGTGTGCGCGTTAGTTTTTTGTTTATTAATATCTGACGTTAATGACCTGATCGATTGCTCATATATAAGTATTCTTGTATTTATTTATTCATATTTTATATTATTTTATATTTTTTTTAGATTTTTTTTAATCGTGTGTAAATGTTTACTATCTTAATTTACTTCATAATTTGTAACTTGATCAGACGTCTCGTGTTTACGTATGTCAAGTGTATGTTTTGTTGTTGTTTATTCCTGGTGTGATTTACTTTTCCTGTGGTTTATTAAAGGGTGCAAGATAGCGTTTATGGCCGTGTTCAGCTTGCGACATTTTGTAAGCATGTGGGCATGTGTAGGGGAGGAACCCGTGTCCGAATTCCTGCCTGCCATCTTTATACACTTTTTTGGTGACTAATCCCGCGAGGTAATGCTGTCAAGTATTCATGGTGAGTCGCCTTAATGTTTACGTCGTGAGGTAAGCTCTTGATATTCGCGGTAAATATGACAAATTACCAGCGATAAGCAATTAGAAGACGCCAGGTCAGTTGGATGTTTTGATACCTGGCTGGTTGTGTTGTGTGGGCAGCAAGGTGAACAAAAAAAGTCATTCGAAAATGTTTGCCAGTGTCTCAGGACCTTAGCAACAACCAATACAAACGAGGGAAAGCGCAAACTCCGCCGTGATTGGTGGGACTGGCAACCCACGGACCCAACCTTGACAGGGCTCGTGCACTCAGACCTCACCATTCCTGGGCTGTTCAGTCGAGAGCGAGATGTGAGGGAGGGAGGATATACGAGGCTCCCCACATTATGGTGAAATACTGCGAATGACATAAGTGAAAAAAGAACATATAAATTGTGGCTTTACATATCTATTCACGGATGATAAATGTGGAGTAGAAACACGGAGTGACGGTTGTTATATGAGGAGCTGTTTGACCGTCCGTGTCGAGTTTCTTGATATTTTTTGAAGACGTGTGGGAGGCGGCGAGATGACCAGCTGACATCTCCTGCTGGACCACACTGCCCACACCCTCTCCTGGTGAGTGACACTTGCTATACCGGGGCGCAGTGACTGAGGCACACCGGGTATGCCCCTCCGCTGGGAATATTTATACACCTCCCGGCATGATACACAAGGCATCGTGGCGGTCACTGATGGAAAATCTTAAAATGAATCGTCTTATTTTTACTTTATTTTGAAGATTGATAAATAAATTGACAAATAGAGTAAATAAATTAATAGATTGATAGATGAATAGATACGTAGTTTTTCAATTTATCATACAACTTTGGATTACCATTTACAAGGTGAATAAACATTAAATCCAACAGTCTTAAAGTGAGAAAGAAACCTTAAACTATCCCTTGTGTTGTGGCGTAGATACTGAATAGCTCGTTGGCTTGTCTTAGTGGGGCCATTAATCATTTACCACACCAATTTTGTACCTATGTGAGGGCAGGTCATAGCGCCATCTGTTTGTTGACATACTTATGATGCAACCAGTACTGTATTCCTCTGACCTGCTTGATAATCATTTCTTAAGTAGTTTAGAGATTTATAAGTGAAGGGGAGTAATGTAAAGTAAGTGTAAGTTGTGGGAGTGAAGATATTGTTAGTGTAAAGTGTGGATTAATTCACAGATGTGTTCTTACCACATTCTCACACACACACGCCCACACTGCTGTCCCCCCTTCCCTCCCTCCTCCTCCCCTCTCTCTACCCCCTCCCGCGACCCACACTCACGCCCACCGCTCTACACCTACGCCCATACAGTCGCCGCTTCCACCACTACCACAACTTTCTGTCTGTATAAACAACTCCGGTTCATGGCAAGATACGAACTGTGCTGTGATTTTTTTTTAAACAATTGTGGTTACCTCACAGTCACCAAGATTCCCAATTGATCGTAAGTTATTTTTTGTCAGTAATAATAATAATAGACTGACTGTGCAGGAATTTCGACATTTTGCGTACCTCTGTTTGTGTGTGTGTGTCTGGGTTAAGTGAACCGTTTAGATGCGTTCTCACATCTCCCGAGCGACTGAAATTTAACCTTCGGAGAAAACTGACTCTAGTACATGAACTGATTACATGAGGGAAAGAATTTATATTAAACCCTTTGAAAATCCGACCAATTTACATATCAGAAAAAGAAGGAATTTATCTTCTTTTAAAAATCCAACGTATATAATACATTTAGTAAGAGGAAAGTGTTAACGTAAGATCCCTTGAGAATTTAACTTACGAACCTTAGAGAATTGAATATTGTCGTAGCTGCAGTGAAGTGAAGAATTTAGCTTAGAAATTTCATGAGAGTTTTTGAGTTGGAAGGAAGTCAGTTGTCAGATCTCAACCGTTAAGATAATTATATACGTACTCTCTCTCTCTCTCTCGTATCTTTCTTTTTGTCTCTTTCTCATTCTGTTTCCATCTCATTATCTTTTTTTATCCTTGTTTCCCATTCCCCCTTTCTCATCATTACGGTATATTTTTGTTTTTCTTTCTCAGTATCTCTCTCTCTCTCTCTCTCTCTCTCTCTCTCTCTCTCTCTGGATGTTTTGTAGTTGCTAATCTACAACAGTTAATCCCATAGCTGTAGAGAGAGAGGGACTGCCACCTAGCAATTTCCTGCAATTTGCGTCATGTTGCAGATCTTATCACTGATGCAGTAAATTACACGGATATTATAGGGGTGACTGGTGTTGAGGTAGGGGTGACTGTATAGGAGTGACTGGGAGGTGACTGTATAGAGGTAGCTAACTGGTATTAAAGTGGGGGTGACTGGGAGGGAGGGGGTAAGTGTATAGTATGGGTGACTGATATTGAAGTGGAGACAAGCGTATCTAAGTGACTGAGAAAGGTTGACTGGGTGAGATTTAACTGTATTGGGGTGGGTGGAGGGAGGGGAGGTATTATAGGTGTATTATTACCTTCCCTGTTTAGTCGTCTGGAGATCATATCACATCTCTCTGTCTGTTGGTCTATTTTCTCTTCTTAATTCTCTCTCTCTCTCTCATGGTGTGACCTTGAGGGAGAGGTACCTGAAGGAGAGGCAGCAGCTGTAGGTCTCCATCAGGTAGGTCACCAGGTGTTCTGTAACAACCTGTCAATCAGTGATACCTACCTTAGTCAGGATCCTCCGTCACCCCTAACCCAACCAAACGCCAACCTAACCTAATCAAACCCAACCCTAACCAAACGCCAACCCCCTACAACCAAGCTAACCTAACCACCAAACGCCAACCTAACCTAACCAACCAAACGCCAACACCTAACCTAACCAACGCCAACCTAACCTACCAAACGCCAGCCTAACCTACCTAACCAACAACCAACAAACGCCAACCAACCTAACCTAACCAAACCCAACCTAACCTACAAACGCCAACTAACCTAACCAACCCTCTTATACAGTATATATAGGAGAGGAGGGAAAGGGATGGATGGAGGAGGGGGAGGAAATGGATGGAGGAGGAGGAGGGAAAGTAGGGATGGATGGAGGTGAGGAGAGGGAGGATGGATGGAGGTGAGGAGGAAAGAGGTGGATGGAGAGTGAGGGAGGGAAAGTAGGGATGGATGGAGGGAGTGAGGGAGGGGGGTAGGGATGGATGGAGGGAGGGAGGGAGGGAGGGGGAGTAGAGAGTGAGTCAGGTAGTTAATGGCTAGTGAAGGTCGAGATAAAGAGATACCTGTAATCTTGAGGAGCAGCAGGTGAGGGAGGGGGGTGATGTTTACTGGTGGACGATCGGACATACCCTCCCCTCACTCTACCACCCCTCACCCTACCCCTCACCCTCCTCACACCCGTCCCTCCTCACCCTACCTCCACCCCCCTCCTCCCCTCACCCTACCCCCTCACCTCCCCGTCTAGCTCAGGTGTCGGTCAAGACAATAGAAGGTGGTGGCTGTCTTGTCCTTGTGGCTGTCTGTCTGTCTGTCTGTCTGTCTGTGTCATTGTTCATGTACTTGTCTGTGTGTTAGTCTTTGTTTTCCTTTGGTTAGGTTAGGTTAGGTTAGTGTAAGTTAGGTTAGGTTAGGTTAGCGTAAGTTAGGTTAGTTTAGTAGTAGGGTAGGTTACGTTAGCTTTAGGTTAGGTTAAGTTAGGTTAGTGTTAGGTTAGACTAGGTTAGTGTAAGTTAGGTTAGACTAGGTTAGTGTAAGGGTGCCTAATCTTCAGGTGATCAAGTAAATAATCTGGTACACCTGGTCTATTCCCCGATTAACATTTTAACATTCCTTTACCTGTGCAATCACGTACTAGAACAGGTAAATCCAGGTGAGTGTTGTGGTGGTGATAGGTTGAGGTGTGGCTGGCTTGGCTGTCCTTATTTCACCGTGTGGCTGGCTTGGCTGTCCTTATTTCACCGTGTGGCTGGCTTGGTTGTCTTATTTCACCGTGTGGCTGGCTTGGCTGTCCTTATTTCACCGTGTGGCTGGCTTGACTGCCCTTATTTCACCGTGTGGCTGGCTTGACTCTCCTTATTTCACCGTGTGGCTGGCTTGGCTGTCCTTATTTCACCGTGTGGCTGGCGGCCCATTTCCGTGTGGCTGGCTTGACTCTCCTTATTTCACCGTGTGGCGTTGACTGTCCTTATTTCACCGTGTGGCTGGCTTGGCTGTCCTTATTTCACCGTGTGGCTGGCTTGGGTCATCACAGTAGTTGGTCAGGATAAATATCGCTATTTTCTGACGATATATTAGTCATAGTGTTTTATTGTTAGTCAACATAAGAGTTATAGAAATATTAGTTGTTGTTTTGGGATATTGTTGTTGTTTTTCGATATTGTTGTTGTTGTTGTTTTGGGATATTGTTGTTGTTTTTGTTTTGCGATATTGTTGTTGTTTTGGGATATTGTTGTTGTTGTTTTTGCGAGATTGATGTCGTTTGTTGATGTTATTGTTGACACGACATGAAACAAGTGAGGTGCGCCAGGCGAGGGTAACACCAACGAGAGGCCAACTACTGCTGCTGCTTGTGCCGTATGCAAATTAGTACGAGAGGCGAGTTTACAGTCTGCTTTGTTGAATATCTAATTAATGGCCGACCAGGTAAGTAGGTAGGTGGGCGGGTGGGTGGGTGGGTTGGTAGGTGGGTGGGTGGGTGGGTGGGTTGGTAGGTGGGTGGGTGGGGTGAGGTAGGTAGGTGGGTGGGTTGGTGGTGGGTGGTGGGTAGGTAGGTGGGTGGGTTGGTGGGTGGGTGGGTGGGTATGTAGGTGGGTGGGTGGGTGGGTGGGTTGGTAGGTGGGTGGGTGGGTTGATAGGCAGATAATTTACCTTACAGTGATGTGTCAGGTGTGGTGTGAGTCATTGTAAAGAGGCTTCAGGTGTGGAGGTGTCATTGTAACGAGGCTTCAGGTGTGGGAGGAGTCACTGTAACGAGGCTTCAGGTGTGGAGGAGTCACTGTAACGAGGCTTCAGGTGTGGAGGGAGTCACTGTAACGAGGGTGTGTTGCCTGCCTGGGTTGTAAATGACCAGGTGTTGTGTGCGTGGACGACATTATTAACTACGGCCAGGTGTTGTAACTACGGCCAGTTAACTACTGCCAGGTGTTATAACTACGGCCAGGTGTTGTAACTACGGCCATGTGTTATAACTACGGCCAGGTGTTTTAACTACGGCCAGGTGTTGTAACTACGGCCAGGTGTTATAACTACGGCCAGGTGTAAGCCAGGTGTTATAACTACGGCCAGGTGTTGTAACTACGGCCAGTTAACTACTGCCAGGTGTTATAACTACGGCCAGGTGTTGTAACTACGGCCATGTGTTATAACTACGGCCAGGTGTTTTAACTACGGCCAGGTGTTGTAACTACGGCCAGGTGTTATAACTACGGCCAGGTGTTAACTACGGCCAGGTGTTGTAACTACGGGCCATGTGTTATAACTACGCATGTGTTATAACTACGGCCAGGTGTTTAACTACGGCCAGGTGTTATAACCACGGCCAGGTGTTATAACTACGGCCAGGTGTTGTAAGGTGTTGTAACTACGGCCATGTAACAATATAACTACGGCCATGGTGTTATAAACCACGGCCAGGTGTTTAACTACGGCCAGGTGTTATAACTACGCCACAGGGTGTTATAACTACGGCCAGGTGTTATAACTACGGCCAGGTGTTATACGGCCAGGTGTTGTAACTATGGCCAGGTGTTGTAACTACGGCCAGGTGTTGTAACTATGGCCAGGTGTTATAGCTACGGACATGAATTTTCTTTTGGTGATGAAGGCTGTTGGTAGTGGTGGTAGGCGTAGTAGTAGTAGTAATAATAGTAGTAGCAGTAGTACTACACACGTGTGTTTCTTGATATAGTGTAGTCTTATCATACTCTCTTATCTCTCTCTCTTATCTCTCTCTCTCTCTCTCTCTCTCTCTCTCTCTCTCTCTCTCAGTAATTTACGGCAGCTGTTTGTCTGTCCGTATTTCCGTCTCACCTGAGTTTGTTTACGTAATTAAGTGACAGGTGTGTAGCGTATTTAATTGTTGTCGTTTATTTATTATACACGTACACCTACCCACACACACACACACACACACACACACACACACACCATCGTGGGAAAAGGTTGTATTGTCAACTTTTTTGTTATTTCCAGGTTGTGATGGTGGCAGGTCGAGGCTATAAGTAAGTAACCCGGATATAATGTTGTTTGTTTTGTGTATGTGTATACTGGACCCACTTACCTGTAGTGTACAAGCTACAGGTAATAGTCACTGTTATCTTAGGCTCGCTACCACTACGAGACGAAGATAAGACAACACAATGTTATCACTGTGTGTGTGTGTGCGTGTGTGTGTGTGTGTGCGTGTGATAAAAACCTATCCCAATGGCTTCAATTATGTGTGGAGCAGTAGGAGGAGGGGGGGGGTAAGGATGGTAGAAGGAGTAGGGAGGGAAGATGGGAGTGAGTGAGGATGAAAGGGAGTAAATCCTATACATCCTGGCCGCCCTGGGAGTCAGTAGGATGAGTCATGGCTGCTCTGAATAGGCTTATGGTAATGAAGAGAGAGAGAGAGAGAGAGAGAGGCATGGCAGACAAAGAGAGAGATGGACTGACGGGCGAACAGAGAGAGAGGATTAATCACAATAACAACGATTGACAAGCGTATCGAATAATAATAACAATAACACAAATCAGCTGATGGGAGTAAACAAAGTGTAATGGAGGGGTAGAGAACAGCTGATATATGTAAACACAGACAGGTGGAGGGGTCGTGACGATACTCCGGACCCTCGTAGATTAACTTCCGGATTTCTCCACTAATTTTTGTGAACACTTCTACTCTACTCACCTCCCCTCCATCTCCTCCTCACCCCAACTTTCCCCCTCCCCCCCCTCACACCACTCATGAGCGGCACTTGTGTTGTGCAATAAGTGTCACAAGCCTAGAGACCCAGGTTCGTATCCCACTGACAGTATTATGGGTCGGAGTGGATTCTAAGAGGTTCGTTCGTGAAGTGAAATTGATTTATTTTTTATTCCGCCTGTGTCAATTTATACTTATGGCATCAGGTACAAGTTGATTAAAAAGTGACGCAGGTAACCATAACACCTGTACATATCCAGACAGGTAGACGTGGCAGGTAACATCGTCTGCCGCACCTGAGCTTCACCACAACAGAACGTCATAGCCAGGGGGAAGACACTAACGCGGGATTAACAGCGCCAGTACGAGTAATCATCAACGTCTGGTAATTACACCCGAACCGGTAGTGACTGGCTTGGGGGAAACTACGTCTGTCGAATGTTAGCCTCGTGTTGTGCCTGCAGTGGCGCTGAGGGGGTGGGGGG